AAAGGTCAGTTTTCATTCCAATCCCAAAGAAAGGCAATGCCAAGGAATGCTCAAACTACTGCACAATTGCTGTTATCTCACACACTAGCAAAGTATTGCTCAAAATTCTCCAAACTAGACTTCAAAAGTATGTGTACTGTGAACTTACGGATGTACAAACTGGATTTAGAAAGGCAGAGGAAACAGAGATCAAATTGCCAACATCCGTTGGATCATCAAAAAAGCAAGAGAGTTCCAGAGAAACATCTACTTCTGCTTTATTGACTTCACCAAAGCCTTTGATTGTGTGGATCACAACAAACTGGAAAATTCTTTAAGAGATGGGAATACCATACCTTCTTACCTGCTGCCTGAGAAATCTGTATGCACATCAAGAAGCAGCAGTTAGAACTGGATATGGAACAACAGACTGGTTCCAAATCAGGAAAATAGTACATCAAGTCTGTATATTGTCACCCTGCTTATTTAACTTATATGCAGAGTACATCATGAGAAACGCTGGGCTGGATGAAGCACAAGCTGGAATCAAGATTGCTGGGAGAAATATCAATAACCTCAGATGTGCAATTGACACCACCCTTATGGCAGAAAGTGAAGAAGAACTAAAGAGCCTCTTGATGAAAGTGAAAGAGGGGAGTGAAAAATTGGCTTCAAACTCAACACTCAGAAAACTAAGATCATGGCATCCAGTCCCATTACTTCATGGCAAATAGATGGGGAAACAATGGGAATGGTGAGAGGCTTTATTTTTGGGGGGCTCCAAAATCACTGCAGATGGTGACTGCAGCCATGAAATTAAAAGATGCTTGCTCCTTAGAAGAAAAGCTGTGACCAACCTAGACAGCATATTAAAAAGCGGAGACATTACTTTGCCAACAAAGGTCCATCTAGTCAAAGCTATGGTTTTTCCAATAGTCATGTATGGATGTGAGAGTTGGACTATAAAGAAACCTGAGCACCAAAGAATTGATGGTTTTGAACTGTGGTGTTGAAGAAGACTCTTGAGAATCCCTTGGACTGCAAGGAGATCCAACCAGTCCATCCTAAAGGAAATTAGTCCTGGATATCCATTGGAAGGACTGAATTTGAAGCTGAATCTCCAATACTCTGGCCACCTGATGTGAAGAACCGACTCATTGGAAAAGACCCTGATGCTGGGAAAGATTGAAGGTGAGAGGAGAAGGGGATGACAGAGGATGAAATGGTTGGATGGCACCACCAATGCGATTGACATGAGTTTGAGCAGGGTCCAGGAGTTGGTGATGGACAGTAAGCCTGGTGTGCTGCAGCGCGTGCGGTCGCAAAAGTCAGACATGACTTAAGTGACTGAACTGAACTTTACTGAATCCCATCATGAAGGTTCCACTCTTTTGACCAAATCACCTCCCAGCCACCCTACCTCCTACTAGTATCACATTGGGGGGTTAGGATTTCAATATATGAATTTAGGAGAAATGCAAATATTCAGCCCATTACATGGCAAAAAGACAAAATAATATTTTGTGCAGAAAAATGGTTCAATCTTCGTATTAAAGCACTTTGTCCATAGAAATGACTTTAGTGTTGAGAAATCCTTTTACTCTTTAGGCTCTTAATTTAGGCTTTTACTTCACAGAATCTGTACTTTAAGTTTTATTTTCAGTGCATGAGTAATGTAGCAAGTATTTCACAAGTTTAACTTAAAAAGAGTAACTTTAAAAAAGAAAACTTATCTTTCTTTTCAGTCTCAAATAGTTTTTTCTAAAAGCTTTTGATTTTTGCCTAAATTTTTAATGTCACTTTCCCCTAACTATCATCTCTCTTTTCTTTTTCCTTTTCTTTTTCATCTCAAAGTATAGGCTAGGATTTTAATTTGGAGGTAAGTCATTCATGATAAACCTAGATTTATCAAAATGCCTCAGATGACATATTGTATATATTACAGTACTGGGTAGTCCTCTGGTTAAATATATTTAATCAGACTTCAAGACCTAATCTGGGTGAGCTTATCTGCTTTCTCCATTTGTAGTTTCTTTAAAATACTGAGATGCCAGAAACAATTCAAATAATATCAAGGGCTCAGATCATAGCAGCATAAGCACCTAATATCTACTTAACTTTTTAAACACACATGACATTCTGTCTTGATAAAAATTGATGTGAAGTATTTGAATCATTCAGTTACTTATACCAGTTTTGTGAAGAGTAGAGTCTCGAGAACTTACTACATTATGAATTATGTTTTATTAATAATAAACAGATCAATCAACATATAAAATTACAGTTATTGTAACTTTAGGTATCTAAATTTCATTTGATTCGACATTTGATTTATAGAGACCAAAGGAAGATAAATGATAATTATAACAGTTTTCAACCTATTACAGTATTAAAATGGTGTTAATAAGACTCTCTGAGAAGAATGTACTGAAACTATTCTATTTGTGGTACAATGAAATTACAACTAGCACCAAATTCAACACTGTTTAACTTTCCACATAACATTGTGATTTATCTTGATCCAAAATTATCAAAGAGGAGGTACATTGAAGTTACCAGAAAACACTGACTTAGAATTAGCATCTGTCTTAAAGGCTTATTTGCGGGAAGTAGTCTGGCCTTATTCAATAGATCACTGAGAGGCCTTAAAACAAATCCTGGAAAAGAATTATTATGTGCCAAGTACATAAACAACAGAAGACTTTGTTAGGTATGAACCAATTAGACATGTTGTTGAAAGCCATGTCTGACTTAATGCAATGCCAGCAGTTCAGCTATATAAGGAACCAAAGAGATAGCTAAAACTTTATAGAGCTAAAGATATGCAAATTGCCACTTTGTCCAGTTTTATCCTAATATAAAACCTGGGTTTTCTAAACATTTAAATATTTGCTTCTTAAGGAGAAAGAATGTAGTCATGTACCTTAATCATTAGAAGACTGGCTAATGATTTAAGAGCCTGAAGCTCAAGGAACTTATCATCAAAATTTCTTGATATGACTTTAGAGCAGGTCACATCCTGCTCTTGAACTTCCCTTCTCTTCTTTTTGTTCATGCCTCCCCTTTACAAGGCATACTCAGATTGCTTCTACAGAGCTTTACTGTTGTGTTTGGAAAATCAAGTATGGTGAATGTGTTTGTACAAAATGGGCTGATGCAGAAATAGAAGTGTGCGTATGAAATTTAACAAGATTTTTAAATTGAGTTAACCAAAATTGACTATATCCATTTGTTTAGATTTACTAAATAAGTTTATAATAAGTTTATTCATGTTCTACTAAATAAGTTTATTCATTCATCTGCCCTTCCTTCCTCTTTCCCTCCTTCCTTTCTTTGCTCTTTCTCCCTCCTTCCCTCCCTTCTTTCATTTCTTCCATTTATCTGCCACCTACTCACCCACCAGTTTGTCCATCCATCCATTCATCCTTTCATCTGACTGTCTCTCAGTCAGTCCAAAAAAGTTTTTTATTTAGCACTTATGTGAACCAACCACTATGCCGGGTGCTAAGATTTCAATAGAAAACAAGATAGATTACCCTGCCCTGTTGAACTTATATTCTTGGGGTGAACACAAGCAATAATCAAGAAAAGAATAAATAAAATAATTACCAGTTGTGATCCATAGTATGAAGAACCTCAACACGGTGTTAATGTGTAACATTTTGTTTATTTGATTTCTGTTGTCTCAGAAAATAGGTATGTGTGCAAGTCCCATTGTAGGGCTCTTATAATGGACAGAAAGACAGTTGTATCACAATTGTTTATCGGCTTACCCCAAAGACCTAGTTTACTTCCTAGGCCTTTCTGATTGGTATTTAATATGTTAAAGATTCCTAATTGGTATTCAATATGTTATTACTATAGTGGATTTGTGTATGCTCTCAAGCATTTATTGTAGTCCCTAATTAGTTCTGATTTAGAAACTGTTACTAGTCTGTAATGAGATAAATATAGAAACTGAGTAAGAATTCAGAAATTCATGTTTTATTTTATACTTCACTCTGGATTGGAGAGTAGAACACAAAACAAAATGAAAATGTTTACCACAAATAGTGTAAAAAGCATGATTCTACAAGACTGTTCAGCTCTCTTGTAAAAAGGCAAAATGAGAAAAAAGAAATAGCAATAATGCAAGGGGAAAGAAAGAACTGTTCAGTGCCACTAAATGCTGAGCAGTTTATTCAGGGTTTCATTAATGACCTCGCTCAGAGCTTCTTCCTCTAAGTGCTGGGTCTGGGCTGGCCTCAGTGCAGAGTCAGCTCCCTGTGGGCCGCCTGAAGCACCTGTCGGCACCTTGCGTTGCAGGCCTTCAGTTCCATGCTGTGTTCTTAGAGTCTTTAAGTAACAGGAATAGTTTTTTTTTTTTCTTTCCCTTAATATCCCTTTTGCTTCCTAAAATTCTGTTCTTGCCGGTCAGAATGGATGGAAGAAGTTGATTTGACAACTGTCCAGGTACTTATCCACTAAGTGGCAAGGCCCAACCTGTCTTTTGTGATAATGTGTAGCTCACTGAATTTATTCCCTCTTGTCAGGCCTGGACTTGGCATTCACTTATTTTATTATGGACAGTATATGAATATTAGAACCCCTGTGGATTTATTAATCTTCAAGCTCATATTCACATTTGACTAGATCAAGCTGTAGGTCTCCGCTTCTGGCTTGAGCCCATTCTCAAAAATTATGTGCTTTAAGACACTCTTTGTTTTCTTCAGTGTGAAGTGTACCTTATTTTAACTTTTTTGCTATTAGTAAAAATCAGAGATAAATGAATTCAGCATCAGGGATCCAGTCCCTTATGGCCAGTTTCTATATTGTCTTCCAGAGTTGCTGTGTTCCAAATCAGTTTTAATCAGAATTGGAGGTATGCAAAAAGGTTTGAATGAATAAGTGAGACTTCTTGGGTGATGATTAAAAAAAAAATGTTTTCCATGAGTTTTTAAAATTCATGTATAATACCGGATTGCATTTATGGTATTGTATCTATGTGTCACAGGACTAATTCCATCACTGTAATATTCTAGGTGGGTCTCTTGGGAAGAACTGGATCAGGGAAGAGCACTTTGTTACTGGCTTTTTTGAGATTGCTGAATACCAAAGGAGAAATCCAAATAGATGGTGTGTCTTGGGATTCAATTACTTTGCAACAATGGAGGAAGGCCTTTGGAGTCATACCACAGGTAAGCAATACAGAAAGACTTAACTGGTAAAAAAGTGACTAAGTACATTTTTCCCGTTCTTTGACACTTGAACTCAATAATTCACATTTCCCTGCAAAATATATTCCCTTTGTATTGCTGTCTTTTTTTTCTTTATGCAATCTTTTTATAGGGAGTAAAAGTTATTTCTAGAAGTTTGGAATTCTCTGACATACAATTGTTGAAATATTAATAACTTTGATAGCTTTTTCCAGAAGATATAAGCCACAGTAGGAATATGGGGCTTTTGTACTTAGCAACTTTTTTTATTCCCGCCTCAATGGTCTCCAAGTTAGCAATCACAGCAGATTGAGAAATGTTTTCCAAGATGTAAAATATGCTGCTGAAATAACAAACTCTTCGAAGCATTACATAGTGGAATTGAAAATAGAAAGTGTAATGATTGTTTTTTGTTCTTTGAATAGAATGAACCATGTCAGATTAATCTGTAGCTTTTTTCAAAAATGTCAGTCTTTGATTTGGGTTACAAAGGATCTTCAGCCTCACTGGTTTAGTATCATTTTATCTGTGTTATTGTGCAAAAGGGCTTTTTAATTATGTAAGAAATAGCAAAAGTTCCACTTTTCAATGACCTTAATGGAAACCAAGAAATGTCTTTACTGGGACCAAGTTTGAAAGGCATGAACTGTATATCTACTAGTATTTGTTCTCATCTCTATGGATGTTGTCTCTGTTTTATGATCTCTTTGTACTAATGGGCACTAAGTCCATTCCACTACCATGGTTCTAACAATTCTCTGCTTTTAACACAAAATTAAAATGCCAGGAGCATCTCTGGGTAGATGGACTACAAATCTAACATGAGAAAATGGCTTGTATTTCCTGATAGATTACCTCTGTGGAACATTTGCCCCTTTCATCTAATGAGGCACTAAATATTGTAACTGCTAGACAGATGCTTTTAATTCATTTGTCTAGACTTTGTCATGGTGCCAGAAGCTTCATCCTGGTTGAACTTTTAAAAAACAGTATTGTTTCTTCAGGAAAAAAAGAGGGATTGTTAGTGGGTGTGAAGATAAAGAAACACTGGGAATACAAGTATCCCGTGGTGACAGCATTAGGCAAGATAACAATGTTGAAGAGTTGGGGATAGAATCTGGTTGTCTAAGAAGCACAGCCATTCAATTGACACTCTGTTTTCAGATCCCATTTTATTTATTTATTTTTTTTCTGATCCCATTTTAAACTACAATAGTGAAGCTTTTGTTCTTTTTTGTTGTTCTTGTTTATACAGATCTGCTCATTAGAGTAATCAAAGCTCTGAGAAATAATTTCAGTTTCTTTGGGAATCCTTTTGTTTATCTTACTTGTGATGGAGAGATTTTTGTTTTATTATATGTTCTATTTAGGCTTCCCAGGTGGTGCAGTAGTAAAGAATCTGCATGCCAATGCAGGGGTCGAAAGTGATGCAAGTTCCATCCCTAGGCTGGGAGGATCCCCTGGAGAAGGAAATAAAAACCCACTCCAGTTTTCTTGCCTGGGAAATCCCATGGACAGAGGAGCCTGGCAGGCCCCTGTTCATGGGATCGCAAAGAGTTGGGCATGACTGAGTTACTGAACACGTACATGTTCTATTTAGGAACCCAAATATGTAAAGCATGGAGGAAAACCTAGTAGGCTAGAGTTATGAAAATTTTTTATCCTGACTTTCTGTCAGCATGAATCTTCCAAACTTCCTTTTCCCCTATTCCATGGCATCAAGTTTTATTATAAACTAAACAAGAAATACTTTAAGCTATGCCTTTATAAATGTGTGATCATGCTAATAATAAATGTTTCTCATTATACATGTTTACAGCCCTGGTTTCTGGGACAGTCTTCCAGTATCACAAGGATGTCTGTAAGACAGAAAGTATTATTTCTTCTATAGTGACATCTTGAGAATGATAAATGAATGCCCAAGAGAGAAAGAGGGCAAACTCCTCAGACCTTTTTAACATCCAAATCAAGAGATGCTTTGATTTTCCCAACTTTCCTTTAAAAGTTCAAATTAAGTAGTTTTTTTTTCTTTCCTAGAGTTTTATCTTTAAAATGTGGCAAGAAGAAATTAAAAATCCAGGGAGTATTTTTCTTTGCTTTTCCATCTTTTTTTTTTTTTTCTGTCTTCCTGACCTTGCAAGACCATAGTTCCCCAAGACCTCTGACACTTGAGATATCAGAGATCTCTAGGCCAGTTAGTCACTTGTTTCCAGGTACATGAAACAGGACACTTTGATCAGGGAAACTTTTCTGTCCCTCAAAGTGATCCTGAGACATCAGCTGTGGAATCACAAGATGTCTTTAGTTTCGGCAAGTTCTTACAGTTTGTGTGTGTGTGTTCTTTCCTCCTGTAGCTAGAAATCTTAGAAAAGGTACCCAGCGTGGAAAACAGTACATTGTGTACATTTTGAGGTGGCGCCTTCTTGAATTTGTTCTACTTTACCTCTAAGCTCTGAGAGCTTGAAGAGGAGACAATGAGACCTATTGTCAGAGTCCCATTGACTTAGCCAACTGAACACCAAGACTTAAAATTGTTCATTCTCCTTGAACCTTGTTAATCACTTAATGCAAGAAAAGCAGAAAAATAAGTTTATTCTTAAGCTTCAAATACAAATTTGAAAGGCTGCAAACTATTATTAGGGGATGACTTGGCCTATTCCTGCAGTGAGACTCTTTGATCTGAAAATAATCTGTACCAACACAGCGTAGTGTCTTTTGCTATGAGGGCTATCAGAAAGGGTCAAATCATGTATCCGTAGAGCTGAACAATGATATTGTATGTGCAGAACTTCTCATTCAATTTCACAGTAATTAACAATTTAATACTTAGTTATTAAGCTACTTCCACATGCTTTAAGTGACAATAAGTACCATGGGTTCTGTACTTAAGGTATAAGATGTTGAGGTCTCAGTCCAGCCCATGAGCGTTCAGTGAGAACTCATTGATTTAAGTCAAGGATTAGAGGAAGATGCCAAAATGATAACTAGAGGTAATTAAGTGTATGGTGAACAATGAGAGCGAATCATTCACATGATGAGAGAGAATCCAGCTCCAAGCTCTGTCATGGCTGCTTCCACCTCAAACTGTATCCTTCCCTCTTTTGCTCCCACTGCTGTGCTTTTCTCATCTTCTTAAATTCTCTGTTGCACACAGAGTAACCTTTCTACAGCACCATTCCAGCTCTGTGCTTTGTCAAGTCAAAAACCTTCTAGGACACCCCTCTCTTCACGGATAATGTCCGGATTTTTCCATTTGTGGTTTAAGTCCCTGATAATCTGGTTTCAACAACCTTTCTAGTCAGATCCACCACTCTTCACACCCGGCACTTTGACGTTTCAGTCAAGCTGGGCTTGCTGTGCCATGGGAGATGCCTCAGTTTCCTCGCTCATTCCTCTGTCCCTGCATTCCCTCTGTCTGAGATGACCTTTCTTCAGCTGAGTCACTTTGGCATCTCAGAAGTTAACTCTGCCAGGTGGCCTTTTCTGACTCCCTCCCTTCTCCCTTTAAGCCTGACTCTAACCCCAACTCTCCACTCCCACATCCCAGGCCCAAGTGGGATCGAGAACTTTGTTTATAAATCTCTCCTGGCACTTCTCTATGTCTTATATTGGAATTATTTATGTATTTATTTAATTTCCACCCAGTATTGTAAACACTTTGTAGACATGCTAATTAAGGAAGCAGATTTAAACACGAAGTCATCAACAATCAGAAGATTAGCAAGAAGGCTGTAGTAGAAATACAAAATAAAACATAGATTTTTTTTTCCTCTTACTGTTTATATCTTATCTTTTCCTCTTATCTCTTATATAGCATATACAATAGCTTGCATGGTAGGAATTCATTACCTATATTTTTTGGCTGAGTAATGAAATGCTTGCTCTCATTTCCAACAGGTTGTTGTTCTGCCAGTATCTGTATTTTACTAGTATTATAATCTTTGGCAAGTTACTTAATTTCTCTGAGCCTCAGTTTCCTTGTCTATAAAATGGGTATAATGGTAGTAACTACTTTATTGGGGTTTTATGAGGATTAAATGAGTAAAGGAATAAATAAGTTGAAGTACTTAAACTACTTCCTGGCATGTGTTTAGTGTAATGCTCTGTTGTTCTAGTTGTTACTTTTATTTATAGTTCCTTGAGAATAGGGATCATGTCTTTTTCATTTCTGTATTGGAAAGGAAATGGATGAATGAATATTGACAGTTTCACAGAGAAGATGATGATGAAAGTGCGCTTTAAAGGGTCAGAAAATGTCTTGGTTTTAGAAAGGTTGGGGGCAGGCAGTTGTGGAGAGGATATTCCAGGATCCCAGAGAGGCATATTATAAGCCACTACAGATGACAACTAGAATAAGAGTTGAGGGACAATGGGCAGAGAAGACCATCTGTTAGGAAGCATTAGGAGAAAGAGGGAGACTTGATTCACACTAAAGTGGTCTAGTGAGGAGTGGGTTGAATCTTCCTGAGTTGGGAGGTAGGTGGTAAAGGGCAGCAGAAGTGGAATTCAGCAGGCAGGACAGGGAGCAGGGAGATGGGCTCAGAAACTCCCTACCTATGATGTGTAAGAGCCTGAACTAAAGTGAATAGGACGTAGGGCGTTGGGCGTGGAGTGCCGAATTTAATGGAGAAAAGGAAAATGACTGGTGTGGGTAATAGTACAACACAATTGTACTGTTTCTGAGCCTAAAAATTGGAAATCTGTGGTAATTTACTTAGATCTGGAAATCATGTTTTGATGTTATTTCTAAAAGTATATATTAAAACATTATAGTGTAAAATGTTGTGAAAAATGACTTTACAGAAACATAATTTGAACATGTTACAAGCAGTCATTTAATGAATGATTTGTACATCAAAATTATAGTTATTTTTATCAACCTTAAACACTTTTGACTAATAAAATTCACCTAGTTTTTGTTACTTGATGTTCTTAAAAGCAAAGCAGCATTTATTTTTAGATATTCTGTAATGCCACTTTAG